TTTTTTGGTCTCATTTTCCTTTTTCCTTTCTTTGTTGTACCTCTTCCCCCTCCCCCAACTGTCGTTTACTCGGACTTTGGTCGAGCGCATATCCAGGCCCTCACCGCTCTGCGCTCACAAGATGTCGAGCTGGAATAGAGAACAAAAAGATGTGTGAGCGACCACGCCAGTCTCGAAATGTCACTCACTCTCCGAGGCCAGGCACAGGCAACGGCAACGCATCCATGCCTTGGCCCATGGAGGAAAATAGGAGGCATCTGAGGGTCTCATTGGATTCGCAACGCGGCATAATAATCCGGGGTAAACCACCGTGAGAACCTGGCCATGAGGTGGGAACTGGGAACTGGGAACTGGAAACTGGGAACTGGAACTGGGAACTTGGAAGAGCTCCGGAAGGCGTGCGGGTTTCGGGCGTGGATTGCCGCGTCCATTGCCGCCGAGGAACCGACGGTCAGTGCCGTGATGCGGGGCGATTACGGATTACGGCACGAATGCGACGTTCACGACACACTTCTCGTCGATGGGACGTGGCTTGTCAGTCCTCCGGGCCGAGTGGCTCAGTTAGTAGTAATGGTGGTAGACCAGTTCCTGCTTCAGCACGGCGCTGGACCTCGACATGATGCAGTCGCGGTACGGTGACTGGGCTGGGGACTGGAAGCGGGGGGTCAAATTCAAACCCATCTCCCTCTCCTCACCAAAGCTGCAGGCTGCAGAGGGGAACGGGCCGTCGAGGTCCGAGGCCGAACTATGCTGAATATGAGCATCCGGAACGTGCTGAGCGCGCTCGAAAGAAATCAGAAAAAAAAAATCGAGTGTGTGAAATTGGGGGCGACCGCTGCCACAATCACCCCTTCAAGAAGGGAAGAAGGTTTTCGAGGATGAGAGAAGTATGATGTCGACCGTCGTTTCGATGATGGTAGATGGTCGTTGGATGGAAAAATAGTCGGTCACCCATATTCCCGAGTCCTGACGCTATCACGACCAGAGAAAACCCCCCATCGAGAGTTTCCTGTGCTGCCACCGTAGCAAAGCAGTTGATTGGAGGAAAAAATGGGAAAGCCTCCATGTTCCCATCCATGGGTCGGATTCCGCGTGGGTAGGTCTATGATGGGAGACGAGACTAGGAAACCTTCTCGCTTCGTAATAAAAGTGCCACGAGGCTACCGAGCATTTGAAGTTTGAGGAACTGTATACGGTGTGCTGTCTGTGGGCTGACGCTAAGACGGGGAAATTGTGTTCACCAATGCGGAGGATTGTGCGGAGGGTCGTACGGAGTGTCCTACGGACGGTTGATCGGAGAGATTCTGTGGATGGCTTTTGGGAGACGTTAGGCCTTCTTCAGCCTTTCAGACCCTGCCGGCACATAGCCTGAATTAGCAAGTCGCATTCACCATGTATAATAGCGTTCAATTATTGTAGCTCGACTTCACCTTTACACCGGACTGATAATGGGAGAACGGGTGAGAATGGGTGAGAAAGGCGGAGGGCTTGGCCACTCCGGAGGCTAAGGTCCGACGATCCTGATCAGGATCTTGGGTCAAGCCGGGAGGTGACAACCCGCTCGCCCGTACCCATAAACCATACCTAGCAATGCTTTCGTCCAGATACGGGGCTGTTCCCAGAAAGAAAAAAACGTCGAATCGAACCTGATATACCCCCCCTTGTGATCTGTACAACGCTTCCGTCGAGGTCAAGTCGTGCCAACTTACCCCCCTACATCTCCCCCTACATCTCCCCCTACATCTCCCCCTACTTCCCCAGTAGCCTCACTTGAGCTTGCAGACCAGGACCCGGAGAAAAAGCCGGAGAGAGCGGGGTACGGATCCCAGCCGCCCCGGCTCCTCATTCGGCTGTCGCGGAGGATTATTGCCAATGAGATGCGTGCGATGCGACTAGCTGGGTAGTATTATCAAGTGTGAATGGGACCCTTTCGGAGATGGTAATCCCATTTGGGCCCTACCTTGGCCATCCTGCCCAAGTCTTCTTTCTTGATTTAGAAATGCTGGAAAAACTTGACAGTAAGCCAGAAACAGATTTTAGGCTAATTCAACCAAACCAGACGAGAGAAGGTTGTTCTCCGGCGACTAACGAGAGTCCAGAGGAACCAAACGCAGTCAACCAGATTCGCTCTAGCGGCGCCCTTGTCCAACATGGCATCACCGCTGTACCAAGGACGGGAATCGAGAAAGGGAGCCGATACAAGACCCGAGCTGCGTCTGAGCCTTGGAAAACCCACTGCCGGACTGGGGCCCCAAAGTTTGGTACGGCGAGGGGCGACGGGCGAGGGGGGGAGCGAGGGGGGCAGCGAGGGGCGGAGGCGGAGACCCGGGGAAGCTTGTGGGTGAGCAAATGAGCAATAAAATATATAAGGGGCGCAATGGACGGCCGAGAGCTGGGGACTAAGAGATCCTGGTGGTACTACCAAGGACCAACACCAAGACAACTGTCGCGTCTTCTGCACACACGGTCGTCAAGATGAAGTCCACCGGTGTCTCTGCGCTCCTTCTCCTCACCGGAGGGCTGCTGAGCAGCGTTGCCCTCGCTGCTCCCACCCTCGAGGAGAGGCAGAACTGCTCTGGTCTCTGGTACGTCACCTTTTTTTTCTTTCTCGAAATGGCGTACACTATATGTATGTCGTCGATCAATGCGAATAACTGACAAAGATCTGCAGGGGTCAGTGCGGTGGAGAAAACTGGTCGGGCCCTACGTGCTGCGCTTCTGGCAGCACCTGTGAGTTCCAGAATCCCTGGTACAGTCAGTGTCTGCCAGGCTCGTCGCCGCCTCCTCCTCCACCTCCTCCCCCTCCTCCGCCTCCGCCTCCCCCCCC